GATCATAGGTCACATCATGATTCGAGCTATGAACATGCACGATTTGCAAATAAATCATACCATCGTGGACAAAGCTTCAAAAGTGGGCAGAAATTCCTCTGCCCCTCCTCGCTCGCGAACCGCACACCCAAGACCCACAAGGTCCTCGCAATGCTCCCCTTCACAAAATTTTGCATTCTCTGGCATCCGCCTCATGTATCAACCACCTAGGCTGGCAGCCTGTGACAATCTCACTCACTCACTCACTCACTCCCTCCCTCCTGACAACCTCCTCATCCCCCCTTCTCAAGGCACCAGAGACTTGCAATGAGATTCAGAGAAACTAAGTTCCGAGGGGAGAGGAGAAGGAAGCCAGTACAAGCCAGCACCAGCACCAGCACCAGCAAGCGGCGAGGGAATGATTGAAGAGCAGTGAAGGTGCAGCGGAGGGAGTGATCGTCTTGACATCGGAGCAACAGCAAGTGCAGCGGAAGCGCAGGCAACGGCGATACTCTGGTGACGCCGCGGCGACGTATTGGCCAAGCCCCTTTGAGCCCCCGCCGCGTTTGCCGCTCCATTCAACCGCGCGTCGCGTGGTCTCGTGCAGCGGCGCGTCCCAGCACGCTCCTCTGGATGAAGCCAGATGAAGGGATGGATGAGCACCCACATTCGTTCTCTGACCATTTCCTTTTTGTCAATTGGGGTCTTGATACTTGTTACTTTGAACCCTGAAACTTAGTGTCATTTCTATTTTTTGGTTTTTGTACTCTGGAAACGTTTCACAAACGGCCATGGTATAGTACAGATTTTTAGTGGTCCATACATATCATAATATGTATATTAAATAAATGAAAATTAAAACACAATTATTGGTGCAAAGTTGTGAATGTTGATTTTATGTTGTCATCCTTGGTTACATAATTTTTTTCTGTTACAAATTTGTATGTATTTGTCTGTAAATTTATGAAATTCAACATGATGCAGAGTCACTCTTTTTGTGTAAATGATGGATGATTGATGAATTGTAAATTGATGAAATGATAAATTGATGAATTGTAGAATTTTAGTCAAAAGTTGAAACTATCCCTCAACACTTCTAAAGCCTTGTTTCTTGTTTTCTAATGAATTATTGTATCTTTCATCCAAAAAAAAGTCAATCATACTCTTTTTTTAATTATTGAATTTTATATAATATTATTTTTTCATATATCAAAATATGATTTGTAATATAAAAATCATCAAACTAAAATGTATTCAATAATAAATAATTTGTCAAAGCATTCTAGTAATTTTGGCTTAGAAGAACTTTTTAAGATATTTGAAATATAATAAAGAGATGTTTAGATCACCTAAAAATTAATAATTTCCATTACAATATCTAAATTCTTAACGTATTGAAATTAATAATAGTATCTATTATAATAATAAGATAAATAATCAAATAGTGACTATAAATTAATTTATAATATCTAAAAGCTAAAAGCTAAAAAATTTATATTTATCTTCAATACTTACCAATATTTTTTTTAATAAAATCACACATAATTTTTTTTAGATTCCAATTTTTATTCTTAATTGGTATGTTTTTATAGTTTTATTTTTAGTTCATAGTTTAATTCAACTTTGATTTTTTTAAATTAAATTTAAAAATATTATAATATAGAATTTAAATATTTTAACAAAAATAGGATTTAAACATAAAGATATTATCAATAATTTATCAGAATAGTTATTTTTTACAAAATTAAAACATTAAATTTTTAAAACTGATTTTTTTAAAGATCATTTCTATGATTTGTAATTTATTGATAAATTATTGATAATATCTTTATATATATATATATATATATATATATATATATATATAGATACATATATTTAGAATAATTTTATTAATAAAAATATTTAAAAAATTCATTGTATCATCACAATTTTATAATTGATAATTATTTATTTTTAAAATTTTTTAAATTTTTTTATTGATATAAATAATAATGTATCTAGTGTAAGTAACACAACTCTTGAAAAGTCTTTTGATAGTATCAGTGTTTCTAAACTATAAAAAATTAGAAAGAATAACTAAAATTAAATAAATAAAAATTTGATTCTGTATTTATTCTCTTATTTAATTATGATGACAAGCTAATGGTAGTAAGTAAATGGTTAATATATCGGATTTAGAAATGGATTTCTTGTTAAAATTTGCTAATATGTGAGACTAAATATTCAGAAAGAAATTACAAGATTAATTTTCCTGCAACTTGGATTTATAATACTAATGAAATTTAAGCTTCAACTCATTACATAATATGGTTATGAAGAAATGAAAAAAGAAAACTCTAAAGCTATATCATAAATGTGGTTTGATTTTGTACTTAGTTTATTTTAAATTTAGATTTTTTTAGACTTAGTGCATTTATTTTGATATTTTTTTATTATATAAAAGTTTAAATAAATATGAAAAATATTCAAATTTCTAAAAATTTAATCAAATGTTTTATAAGAATAAAATTTGGTTATAAATATATTTAATAAATATTTAAAATAATCATGTATAATAAGTTCATATTAAAAAATAAAAATAGAAATTTCTAAAAATTATAACTAATATATTAACTTTGTTTGAAATTAAATTTAGAAATTTCTAAGATTTATATATTTTTAATTCAATATTCTATTGACCTTAATATGTGAGATTTTATGTATTGAACTCTCAAAGATAATTTATGGATATAATGAAAGATATCTTTGGTATTAATACTACTCATCAAATAAAAAAAATAAAAGAATAAAAAAACGTTTTAGCATATTCTCTATTAACTAAAAATTATTCTTCAAAAAATAAATTAATTCTTTAGAATGTATTTTGAACTTTATCTTTCAAATTTCCAATAATTTTTTTCAATCTAAATTTTGTGAAATAAATTCTAGCTTCCCTTTCTACATCCTTTTTATTCAAAATGTTAGTTTCTTCGGACCAATAATGTATATAATAAAAAAAGAGGACTTAAACATGCATTAGCATATAAATAAAAAAGAGAATGCTAATGCATACAATAATCTGCTCTTGACCTGTAGTAATGATTTCATAGAAATTTATATCCAGAAATTCATTTTTATTTATCTGATATAAAAATACAATTTAGTATCTTCTACAAATTAGAAATTGATAACTTTGTTTAAAGTAATTATATTTTCTTAAGTGGCATATGTTACTATTTTTAACTTGTGTAAAAACAGTCCAATATGCATCTGTTACTTAGGAAACTTTTGAAAACATTTGTATTTATGTATAAACATAGATTTTTTGATTTTCATTTAAATAAATATAAAAAATAAACATTTTAAAATATTGACCCAGGAATTTAATGCTATTTCTTTTACATAGCCATAAGACATAATATTGATTGTTCCATCAATCTTGCCAAGTTACAAAATAATCAAGAGATCAATTTCTGGAAATAAGGAGAGAAATTGGCAAAGGCATCACAAAATACACATCTCAATACAGATTTTCCACAACATTCTTGATTATTTCTTTTGAAAGATTATCCATTCAGTTTTTACCCATCAAGTTGTATCCAGATAGAAGCAACTTAAGTTTTGAATGGTTCTATAGAGAATCAAACTTTTTGGGTGTAATTCAAACAAAATTCAAACAAAACTCAAACAAAAGATTCCAATGAATGAATATTCTTGTCCGACAGTAGTTGAAGAAAAGAAATGCAGATAATGCAATTTCTATGTGGGGGGGGGGGACCCATAAACTTTGCATAACATCTCATGCAATGGCATGCAACATTGTGAGAGTGTTGTTAATGTTGAGAGAGAGCTGAGCTTCACGCATTAGAAATGCTCTGGTACCCTTTTTTCAAGCTTTATTGTGGTCCTCACACACAAATTGAGGCACTTCCATCACCAAAGAAACACTCACCCCCCCCCCCCCCCACACACATATTGGCCCCTCTCTCTCTTCTTTTCTTTTTCTTTATTTTTTATTTTATTTTATTTTATTTTTAATAGTTTAGAAATTATTGATTTTATAGAGACATGTGTACACTTTGTAGTATTGGAGGAGATTTTATAGAAACTTACTACTTAAGTTGTGGTAGGGAATCTTCAAGAGAATATGCATGATTGTTGGTCATGTATGTTTCATTACTCTTCATGGAATTGTAGCTGATTACAAATCTAGCTTCATAGTTTTCAACTGGTTGTAGGTTTAAGTTTGTCTTAAGCCATACATTGTCATAAGCCGTAGGTTTAAGTTTGTCATAGTTCACCAAACTTTTTTTTTATAATGAAAGATGAGCTTGAATCTTTCGATGTTTGTATCCATAAGATGGTAAAAAAATTATACATATTTCATGAGAGAGACAGCACTTTACAACCAATCTTATACCAAAGTTGTAAATAGTTTTAGATCAAAGTCTGATTCATGTCAATTCAGATAGTATTTCATTAGTTGGAAGAAATCTCCTGTGTACTTATTTTAATCCATTTTTTTAATGATAAAACCTAATATTTACAACCATTACTCAGTATATATTAATGGTTGTAAATACTAATATATACTGAGTATTATATATCAGGTTTTACATTGGGTAATGGTTGTAAACCTATTTTGACATAATAATGCTGTTGTCCTGCATATATTTTAGTTTAAAAATATTCTAAATGTTTGAATGTGGAAGAAATTTTCTATTGCATACACTTATCTTATAAAAAAAATTATAAGGTGCTTAAAAACACCTTATAAAATAACCTCAACCTTCTCAAATATCCTAAATCCAAGAAACCCTATACCCTATATTCTATATCCTAACAATCCTACAATCTTAACTCTTTTAAACTCCAAAATAATATCAACCCTTAGATTTTAAAACCTAAAATCTTATTAAATTCTAAATTCCTA